AACAGTCAGGGAAACCCCTTCGTTAGGATCCTTCCCCGAGGCAGCTCCAGCCTGTTTTCCCAGAGCTGCATGGTCCTTTTCAAATGGGCAAATGTAGGAGACTTTTACTTTAGTTGCCTGAGACTTGTCGCCACAGTATGTCCCTGTTTGCTTCTCTGCTTCCTGTTGGTGTTATTGTCCTGTAAGGCTTCCAATGGGAGTGATGGTGGACACTTGTGCGTGATCATTCACCTGGGCTTTGAGTGGGGATGAGGGTGGACACTGCCCGAGCATTCACCTGGCACTGATTCAATAAAAACAGGTCTTTCCTTCGACGCTTCGAGGTGTAGCTGCACTAAATTTACAATTCTTATTCTCATTCAGGTGTTCTAGATTCTTTGGAACACAAACCTAACAGTATCTTGCATGTCTGCCTTCCTACACTCTCACAGTTCTCTACACAATTTCTTCTATCCTGATATTCAAGAACGTCTACATATTGTACCTTTAACGCCTGGCTATCTGAGTCTATGTTACAGTGTACACAAATGCACTAAAAAACAGGAAATGGGAGAAACGCCAAAAGGCTAGTGAATGAAGCCTGAAGAAAGGCTTGAGAGAGCTGTTAGATCGTCTTCTCATGCATCCTACTGTCTGTGACCCTCGGACAAAGAAGAGTCTTTAGGCTGGAAAAGTCAGAAGAGGAAATTCATTTTTTTAAAAGGCGGAAATGAAACACTGCTGTAGCTGATTGAGAAGCTGAGTGATAGATCCACCAGCTTGGGCTGGAAGTGGGGGTAAAGGCAAGGGAGGTGACAGCAGGATGGAAAAGTAAAACGAATTAAGGAAAACACATGGTCTTCCGAAGAGGAACCGGAGTTATGAAAAGAGATGGAAAAACCAGTTCTTCCAGGATAATGCTTTTTGTATCCCTCCTCCCAACGGGAAGCTCAGCTGGAGATCCGAGGAAACTGAGAGAATGCCATGGAAGTCCAGGTTACCTGCCAGGAGGAAGAGAGCTGTAGGGGGAGCCCACAGTGGGGCCAGGGTCACGTTTTTCTTGGCACCGGGATACTTTCAAATGAGTTATTTTTCAAAAGTTTCCAAGGAGGATCCTTTACCAGTTTCCAGCCTCCATTTGGGATTTGAAACCTACAGGAAGCAAGGACCCTTCCCATGACCTCTTTTCTTCCTCTCTAAATTTAATTTGGATACAGAGAGCTGGCGAAGCAGGGGCTGGAGCCTTTTGCAGTGCCTGCGAGTAGGGTCTCTCCCTAGTACTGGCAGGAACTGGTCCTGCTCCCAATTAAGGGCTCTTTTGGCAAATGAGGGATATTGTTTGGGGTTTTGGCAAGTTGTTTAAAGATTTGGCTTGCATGTCCTTTTCTTCTGTGAAATGAGAAGTTTGGGCTTAAATCGTTGGTTCTTAACTTTGAGGGAAGGTGGTCTGAGACCCTTTCTGGAAATACACTAAAGGCATATAAACTGGCTCCCATGGAATTTGACAGTCAGTTTTCAGGGCTTCTGGTCTCTGAAGCACAGAATTTCCAGTGTCATTTTCCTTCTCAAAGAAGCTTTAAACATCCTTAACTTTGAGGCGCAAGCTTTGAGCAATGGCAGGTGAGCAGAAGTGTGTCCTTTCTATGCTGAAGGGTCTTTTCCTTGTGTCAGTAACAGTCCCAGCAGTGGCTTTCCCTCAGTCCCAGCAGGTAGAATAGCAGTACCACAGGACCGATGTCCCCAGACAACCTTGGATTATCATGCTTTCTTTGAGCTGCAGGTTACTGATACTAAATCTAAATATTTCTACTGTCTTTTTGTCTTTTTTCAGAATCTAAGTCTGTGAGATGAAAATTGAAAACACAACTTCATCTTCTCAAACCACCTACCTCCTTAGCCTGGCCCACAAGAAGCATCCATTTTGGAGTCATTGAAGTCAGAATTCAACCAGGTCCTACTTTGAAAGCCAGTGAGCTACCAAAGGCTTGGTAAGGGTCCCAGCATGGAAGGATCAGTTTAGCTATTCCATTGGGCATACACCCAGTCTCATTTTCAGAAGAGAAGAGAAACAAAGCAAATAAATACTAGTGTGCTCCTAAATGCTTCCAATGGCAAAAGTCAGGTCAAAAGGCAGGATGTCTGCACTTGGCTTCTATTTATGGATTATGCAGTTTAAACAGAGACCTCCATTTAGAATTCATCTGCCCATTAAAACTGTTTCCCAAGTTATTATCTGCAAGGAAGCGGACAACACTCGAAGCTTTTTCTGTGGTGGGCTTTTTGTGGAGATGTTTTGCATGTGTATAATTCGCCGATCAATTTTACCTTGTCAAAACAGAAAATGTCTGTCAAACACAGGATGAGGCTCATTAGAGAGATGCGAGTGATAGCTCAGTGGAGGGGAGGATGAACCGACTGCCCAGCAAAGAGGAAACAAGAGACTATTCAGGGAGAAACTGGAAAGGGCAGAAAAATGATACAGTGGTCACAACAGACCCGCAGCTAGCGAATGATATGGCTATTTAGCAAATGATACTGAATGGGCAAAAAAATTTTTCAGTAATTGGTGGGTGATGGTAATTCATGATCAAGGGGCTGATACTTGAATAGTCAGCAAAGTAAGCACGGAGCTGGTTTTCTCCCTTCTGTGGCTGTGGTTTTCCCAGCTGAACATTTCCAAAATTAGAATGTGTCCACCTGATGTAGAGACCTAATGTGGAACTGTCTCTGCTCACCACAGAAGTAGTTAACTTGATGGCCACAGTCTATTGTTGAACTTGTATGACACAGAGAGAGACACAAAAGAGATACCGAGAGAGACAGAAAGTGTGAAAATTGAGTCTAATATATACAGTATATAATATATGCTAAGTAATATAATATACAGTGTATATATACTATTATATACAGAAAACACAGTCTTACAATTTTGGTGCTTTCAATTGATTAGAATGTACTGTCATGTGATTCAGAATTCAAAAATTACAGAAAATAAAACAGCAAAAGTCCTTGTCTTGGTTCTATTTATTTCCCTCTGGAAAGTTGTTTCTGAAAACTGGTTTAACAGAATCCTGTGTATTCTTGTAGAGTTTATCTCTTTCAGGATTGCCCCCACTTGTTCATCAAGCCATAGAGCATGCTTTTCTGTACCTTGCCTTTCTGTTTGAATAGAAACATAATTTGGAGGTTTTTCTGTTGCCATAAAACTCTTGCGTTTCCAGTCTCCCTGTGTAGTTGGGGAGCAGTCTGGTTTATATATATGTGATTTACTAGGTCTGTCTCTTTAAATGAGTATCCTAGAGCCAGTGAGATGGCTCAGCAGGTATAAGTACTTAGTGCCTGTAGAAAACAATTGCAGAGTTAGCTATCTCCTTCTACCTGAGCTCAATGCTTGAACCCACATGGTAGTAGATAGCTAACTCTGCAAGTTGTTTTCTATAGGCACACTCACACACACTCACACACACACACAAACATGCACATGCACACGGACACACACACATGCATGTGCATGCGTACACACACTAAATAAGATATAATATATTAATGAGCACTTTAGCTCTATCCAGTCTCTGGGCTGACAAGTATTGCCTGTCTGTTCTCCATAGAACTGTGCCATTTATATCCTTGTTCATGTATGAGACTGCCAATTTTCTACTCTCTGTCATATGTATGCATATGTGTACGTATGTATGTATATATATGTATATGTATGTATATACATAATTTCTCTTTATCTTTACCACTATTATAAGACAAAAATATAACCCCAATATACATGTTAAATAATTGTAATAGAAACAGTTTAAGAAAAGCCTATTGTTCATCTGTATATAGTTCAAAAATTTTCACCAATGAAACACACTGTGTGGCCAGCACAGATTTCAAAACCCAGGACAGGATCACAACCCTGAAGCTCTTTTTATTATATTCTTAGAAATAATCCAGTAGCTTTGGCCTTTCTCTTGGGAGTGAAGCAACTGTCTTTAAAAAATAATTTTAAGTTGGCTTAGCAGAGTTCAGCATCTTCACATGGGTTCAGGAACCATTTGCATTTTTTTTAATCTGTGGACTGTGTGCCCCTCATGTTTTTGGCCCAGTCATAGCCTAGGATGTTGGTGTCCTGTTCCTGATTTATGGAAGTTATTTAATGACAAGAACATTCACCAACTGTGGTACTCCTGAGAGTGGGTATTCGGTATGTGGAATTCTAGCAATGCAGTAGTGAATTAAATAGCTCACCCACTGGGGACCTGCACAGTCTTCTGGATATTCTTCTGGAGGCCTGATAGCTATTGCCCACTGTCGTTCCTCTGGTCCATTTCTGCTCCTACCTATTATTTCCAAAAGCCCTGGGCAAGTAGCTTCTTTCTTTCTTTTTCTTTTTTTTCCCTCAAATAAAGGATTAATCATCAGCTGTCAATCAAATGTTGGGAGTGGGACATCCTCAACAGAAAACCCAGCCAAGTGAAAAACCTAGGAAATAAGACCATCCAAAAAGACTGGGAGAAACATCTGGAAAGTGGCCTCTCGAAGGAGATCGCTTCCTGATGACAGACCCCTGGATTCCCAGACTGCTTGTCCAGTTCAGCCCCTCCCCTCCATCGCCACCACTGCTCTGGCCCACAGACACAGAGCCATCCACCCCCATTCCCACCTAGGGTTCACCCAGGAGGGGCGGTTCCCTCAAAAACAAAAGCAAGTGGGAGGTTTTGTTTTCTTTCCCTCCCCCTCTCCCTCCCTCTGACTAGAGGGTAACCTCACACCACATGCCTTCCAGCAAACACTCCTCACCCGATAAATCATGTGACCCTTCTGTTTACTTAGAGGTGCTGGCCCAGGCCCTGGCCTTTAATCCAGTGCCTGGTCTGCAACCGATTTCTGAGTGGTTTTCACTGGAAAGGAGAGCTTGAAAGGGCCAGATAAGGCAGCCTCCTTATCTGCATAGAGGAGTTCCCTGGGGCCAGGCCCAGAGGATGCTGGGAGAGGCTGGGAAACCCAGTACAGAAGTTAGGAAGCCTTAGTCCAGAACAACCAGCCCTGTGTAGCTCTGTGTCGTTTCCACACAGCATTCAGGAACTGGAGCGGCTCCCTCAGGAGGGATCTTAGGTTCCTCCTGTTTTTGAACCTTCACTTAAAATTTCACGTTCTGAAAGCAACAAAATGAAAACTTTAATGGTTTCTGCTGAGAGCTTTGCCCCAAACCTCTGTATGAACTACTTAAAACTCCCCCTCCTCCATTTCTCCCTCCCTCCCCCCTGTCCGCCCTCCCTTTCTTCTCCTTTTAAGAAGGCTGCTTACACTGTGAAGAAGGCAGAGGCTGCTTTTGAGGATGTGGGTACCTGGCTCTTGGTCTTGAGCGGTGCGTCTCAGTGGGCTTCTGAACTGCCTCCATCAGCAGGCGTGGAGCTGACTGGGTAAGGACGAGCTGATTTTTCTTACCCATCCCAGGCTAAAAAATAAGACCTGCTAAGATGTTGGGCTTCACAAATAAGGAGCAGGGAGAGGCCCTTCAAGTAAAGGTTAAGACTGCTGACTGGAAACTATGGTTCTGAAGTCACTATTTTGATAAAGTCTCAGTAGGTGATGGTACACCAAGCTGTAACATGGACCGAAACCCTGCAGCGTACCTTTACGTCACCCTTTCTTCCTAGTGTATTGTCTACCTCGTCAATGGCTGCTTTCTCAAGATAAATAGATACTTTATTCATTTTTCATTCGGATTTTAAAATTTATTATTTTTACTTTATGTACTTGGGCTTTCTGTATGTTTGTACGCTTGTATACCACATAGGTACCATGTCCCAGAGGCCAGAGGAGGGTGTCAGATTCCCTTGCAACTGGAGTTACAGATGGTTATAGCCACCATAGAGATGCTTGGAATTGAACCCAGGTCCTCTGGAAGAGCAGCCAGTGGTCTTCACTGCTGAGCTGTGTGGCTCTCCAGGCCAGGTTTCCTTTTTCTTTTTAAAGTCATTATCACTTGGACAGAACTTGTTGGTCAGATGTCTTATAGAAGGAACATGGAACTGAAGACACACAGACGTGCTGACTTCTGACTGTGCGGAGTCTGGAAAAAGCAGGATGGTTAAGGAAGTGGGAGAGTAACCCGAGTATTTTTCTAGACAGTTACTCAACAAAGCCATTGCTTCCGATGATGTCCAGACTTCATTTGAAAGCTTGGCCTGCCCACTGCCTCAGGACTCAGATCTTTACCTCTGCACAATGAACCGGGAACTGAGAATCCAGCTACAAGTCATAGTGCCCTTACTGAAAGGCATGAGGAAGGGCTGGTGTCACGGCTGTGCCTGGATTACAGGCCAAACCACTGCAGTTCAGGAACATCTCTTCAGGCCCGTAGAGACAGCTCAGGTGGGTGACAGGAAAAGTGTGTGGTACTCAAAGACATCAAATAGTAGCCCCTCTCCAGTGAAGATTATGTCACCATTTTCTTCATCTGGGTGCCAAGACGGTGAGATACTTTTGTATCAGTGGTGATCGGTATAGAGAATAGGCCGGAAGGCCATCTCCACTGCTCAGGGCTTCCCAGCCTGGGTAATAAAAGGGTGCTATCAGCTGGTAGGTAGTAGAATATAAAATTCAAACGGTCTTGAACAGAAGCATCATTCTGCAAAACGCAATGTCAGGGGGCTTCCTGGCCATCCTCTCTCCTCTTGCTCATGGAAACAACATGGCTGCTGCCACAGTGCCAGCTTGATATCGCACATGGTCATATTCAAAGACAGGAAGGAATGGAGTTTTGCTTCATGTGCCTTTTCTTTAATCAGGGAGGAGTTTCCCATACACATACCACACCACAGCTCAAGATAGTCTAATACACCGTCATGTGACCATTGCACTCTGTAGGCAGGAAGTATGCTTTGATCTGCTCTACTTATGTAATAAAGCTTCAACTAGTCATCTGCCTGAGCCTTGGAAAGGGCTGAGTTTCTCCATGTATTTTACTGTCTGCAGTTTGAATAAAATCATAATTGCATCAGCAAACAAAAGACAAGTCTAATGGCTTCTCAACAGACCCCAGGTTACATAAGATCATTGCCACTGACAGAGTTCTAGTCATTTCTAAAGGGCCTGTGATACCTTTAAACTGTACTTTTTCCCCCCTACCCTGCAGCTAATAAAAAGCCTGACCCATTGGGGCATCTTCAAAGAGTCCAGTGAATTCAGCAACTTTGCAGCATCCGTTGGACTTCCAGTCTGTCTCACTTTGAGTGCTTATCGCTTTAAAAGGGAGATTATTACCACAGAGACTGGACTGGAAACCGCTTCGCTGACAGGTTTAAGAGTCTTAGTAAAATAAACAGCAGAAAAGGCAAAAGGGTGCAAAATGGCAGGCTTCTCTCTCCTCATGAGGCTCAGGCTGGCAGAGCAGGAGCCTCTGTCAAAACAGAAGTTGTCAGACTGTGGCAGAGTTTGTGCTACACATAAGAGGGAGGCTGAGGATGGCAAAGACGGGCATTTTCTTCCAGTCAGGCTTATCCTTCTACAGAAAACTGCCGCTGACAGGCTGCCTTCATACCTGCGCATCTGGTTTATAACTCAGACCTTAAAAAGCCTAGAGCTGTGTTTCTGTTTTCTGGTTCCCCCCATGCAAGAAAGCTACACAGACAACAGCAAAAGAGACTGAGTTTCTCTTGAACTTGAGGCCTGGACCTAACTGAAGTCTTTTCTTTGAATCTGATTGAATCTGAGCTAAAACCACGATAATTGGAAATGGTTGGTTTCACAAATCAGTGTATTCTTGTTTGTAATACTAGCGGCAATATTTCTCACAAACTCAGAGAGGAACAGAGTAAGTGAGAGTGCCTACCTTAGACTCACATGACAGGAGAGGCACTACTTAAGTGGGATTTTGTTATTTGTGGAACATTTAAGTAAAACTAAGCCAGTTGTCGTAACTAATGACTTTAAAGCTTCTAAACTCACAGTGTTTAGGACATTCAGGTAGAACCTGTCATATCCAAAGCCCAAGAACTCATAGGGGAATCTGAGGGAACAGGGGACTGAGGGGCTAGTTGAGAGAATTGAAATCTGCTTGTCCCACTTGAATCTCCTCACACCTACCGTTTAGCTCACTGGGCTGGCAATGGTAAAGCCCTTCCAGAAGGGTACAAAGGTCATGTAACTTACTTCTGAACATTTCAGATGTTCAGAATAAAAGTTGGCAGGAATTTGACCCCTAACTGTATGCCTTACATAACTCTGGGTTTATTTGTTGAGTATTACCATGACAAAATAGTAAGCCAGTTTATAAAGTAATGTGATTTAGTTAACTCGAAGTTCTAGAGATTCAAGAAGATAATGACATCACTTTAGCTCTAGGGAAGGCCTTAAGGCAGGAGGGTACCCATAGTGGTTTATATGAAAAAATGTTCTCTATAGAATCAGGCATTTGAATACTTGGTCCCCTGATAGTGACTATGTTTGGGGACATTTAGGAAGTGTCAGCCTTGGTGGAGGAAATGTTTTACCGGAAACAGGCTTTGAGGGCTCATGGTCTTGCCTTGCCCTACTTCCGGTTCACTGTCTATTGTTGAGATAGGATCTTTTGGCTTTCTGCTATGCATCCTGCCCTGATGGACTCGTATCCCTCGAAAACTGTAAGCCAAAATACTTTCTTGAAGAAGTTGCTTTTTGTCATGGTGTTTTATCATAACAGAAAGGCAACACATAAAGCCCAGTGAATGAGTGGGGTAGCCAGGTAAGACTGCCACATAGCCACAGAAGGACTAAACCCCTAACACTTGAACCCCTGAGGGAAAATTTCATCTCAAGTAGAGACTCTACTTTCTTGTCTTTAGGGCTCCAATTCAAGCAAGGCAGGAATGGCTAGGCCAGAGGATGGAGACCCCAGGCAGCCAGTGAGGGCAATGAGATTATACAGGCTTAATGAGAAGGGCTCATTTAATTGGGGGAACAAAGGCTGTTTAAACTTTGGGGGAGTGTGTAGGGGCTTTTGGGTGGGGCCCAGGGTGCTGGCTGTGCCTCATTTGCATAAGGAGGAATTCCAGGTGTTGCTGGTCATGACCTATAAGGGGAAAGGAAGTTTAACCTGGCTGTCAGGTTCCTGACCTCTTCTGATGAGGCAGAGGTGGGCTGGATATGCAGACCTGGGGCACGGATTGGGTGGAAGAGTGATCCTACACTAGCCAATCTCAGAATGAGATTTCCAAGGTTTGGACATGCCTCAACCCCACTCTTGCTCCAAGCCTCCCCCCCTTGGCCCCGCCATGTGTCCCTGACCCCACATTTCAGAATCTTGATTTCCTTACCTGTAAACAGAGCTACAGAAGACAGCCATGAAGATCAAGTAAGAAGTATTGAAAACAGCCAAGCAGTTGTCCAGCCTCCATATTCCCTTATAAATGGAGCTATTTGTCATTTCCAATATTGTCTGACCAGTCATCACTAGTTCCTTGAGCTAGAACATTTAGGAACAAAGAGGTTTTGCTCAAGGTCATTTTGAACTTTTTTTTCTGGGCCATAGGTTTTGAATCTAAGAAAACTCTTCTTGGCCACTGTCCTCAACCCACTCCTTCGGGTCCCATAAGTGTAAGCTGATGTTAGGTCAGTCAAGGACAAGCTCCCAAGATGAGCGTAGGCAGCATAGCCCTGACACTCAGACTGTCCTCAGTTGCTCTACTAAAAAACAGTATCTGGAAGCATTTGATTCAAGTCACAGAGTTTACCTTTTGCCAGCAACCCATCCCCAACAAAACAAAAATACATGTGAAATACTGAAGAGTATGTTTAAAGATGGCATTGGGTTGCAGACACCAACCTGGTATTAGAGAAGTGACCTCACTTCCTTCCAGAACCTTGGTGTAAGATCAACATAACACCTCTGGATGAATTGGAAAAGGTATGTGAAGAGATAGGGGGTTCACTAAGAGTGGCAGCTGGTACCAGGATTTTGGTTGCCAGTCCTACTAATGGGCATATGGCTCCCTAAAGTGTGCTGAGAGCTGGCACTAAGGTGTGCCTGGCTCTCTTCTGTGCCCTTTGTATGTGGTATTTATTAGCTTAAGTCTCTCAACTCTATATAGCAGATAATAATAGTATTACCTTCTCTAGTGATGAGGGCAGTGGGACTCAGCAAGGCTGCGCTCCTTAACTTACAGTCTACAGAAGGTATCTTTTAGGGATTGATCCTGTGCTGCTATGTATTCAGATGCTAAATATTGGTGCCCAAGATCGGGTTGCCCCATGAGTAGATTGTCATGTATACCAAGTGATGCTCTGTAAACCTTGTTCCCCAATTTAAAGCTATTGGTTAAATAAAAGTGGTGTAGGGACCACAAGGAGAGAGAGGAGGAGGAGGAAAAAGGAGAAGAGAAGGAGGCAGAGAGTATAGGAGGTCTCCATTGCATGAGATGGACCAGGAGCACATGGCTGAGTGAAATGTGCCCCCAAGGCAGACTGTGGAACAGAAACAACCTGTGTGAGACTCAAACAGCAAGTACTCTGGGAACTCAACTAGTAATTAGCCTGTCAAGCATATAGAAAAATAGATTAGGGGTAATTCATGCAGTAATTGTGTTACAGCTGATTTTAGAAATCCATAGGACTCTGTCTCTATTATTGGCTGATTGGCCAGGTCATGTTAATAACTAATAGACCTGTTAAATAACATTTAACAACCATTTAGAGGTTGTCAGGCAGTGTGATACCAGCACTCCCTCTCCCAGCCACTCTAACAGGTACTACTCTTAAATGACCCAGTCAGTGAGGGGAGAAACAAGAAGCCTCCCTTGTCAACTTCCCCTCTAGATATTTTGTGGAATAACCTGGAGCACTATCCCCCCCCACCGCCACTCCTCCAAGTTTTGAATGTGGCCAGAGGAAGATCCATGTCCTCCTAGAAGAATTTTCCACTGGTTCTCCTGGGATGATACTACGTCTTAAAGCAATATACTAATAACAATTTTAAAAAGATGTTCATTTTAATTATGTGTGTATGTGAGTGCCAGTGTGTAGTTTGTCCACATGAGTGCAAGTGCCTGAGTTGTCCAGAAGAGGGTCTAGGATGCTAAACTAGAGTTACACATGGGTGTGAGCAACCCGATGTGGGTGCTGGGTCCTGACCTCAGGCCTTCTGCAAGAGCAGTGTGTGCCCCTAACTGCTGAGCTCCAACCAATCTCAATCCAACCAATCCTATCACTCCAGCTCCAACCAATGACAATTTTTTAAAGTTCTCTTTAACGGGAAAAGTCCAAAGTTCTAAAATAAAAGTGTTGGTCTCTCGGGATGGCCCTCTGCCAAAGGACAGTTCTTTCTGTGACCCTCACATCAAGTTGATGGGATTGAAAACCACTGAAGGGACACATACCTCTAGACTTAACTGGGGAAGAAAGATCCACCATGAATGTGGATGGCAGGGTCCCATAGGCTGGAATCTGGGACTAAATGGAAAGGAGGGAGTGCACTGGGCACCAGCATTCAGCTCTCTCTGTGCCCTGACTGTGGCCACCATGTGACCAGAATCCTGACTGTGGCCGCCATGTGACCAGCTGCTTCAAGCTCCTGCCCCCACAGCTGGGACTGCTCAGCCATGCCTTCCCTTCCAAGATGAACTGCCCCCTCTAACTCAGGAGCCAAAGTAAACCTTTCTTAAGTTGCTTTTGTTCCATCAATGAGAAAAGCCTAATCTGCTGTGTAACAAAAGCAAAACTCTTATGTAGGTCTTGATACACTTTTGCCAAGTGACCTCTCTGGGCCTTGGTTTCATCCTCTGAGAAAGCAGACAGATAAAACAACACAAGGTAGTTATTCTGGGAACTGCATTATTCATGCTGTGGGTCAAACTTTTGTCACAGTGTGTCCTTGATCATAGGGCACCATGAGAAGAAGGAAGTGACATGAGAGGGGGGTTGGTGAAGATGACTTTGACCTGAATGGAACTAGAAGGTGAACCAGGGCTTAAGTTCTGCATGCCACTGCCGGATGAGATATATGGCTCCATTGCCTTGCCATCAGAGACTCAATTCCTTCATCTGTAAAATGGAAAGATGAAAGTTCAACAGAACACGCCACCTAGGCCACACTCATTCATTCCCAGACTGGTGCCTCTTTGCTATGTATGTCCCCAGCATACTGGATTTACTAACTGCTCAGAGCTCCTGGCTTTCTGATACATTGTTATTAGACTTTCTGGGGATTGGAGGGTCAGGTTGGGAAAAAAATGGCATTCAAATGACTCCATGTCAGTCATAAAAAATAAGTCAGTGTCTCTCACATACACTCGGTGAAAGGGAACAAATCTCTTCAGGATTTCTAAGCTAAAGCAGAGGTTGTTTGTGCGAAGCCTGCGTGTCTTCTGACCCAGAGCTCATCACACAAACAATAGCAGAGGCAAAGGAAAGACAGGCTATTGTTTTGTCCTATTTATATCCCAGTGTTGGAAACAACATGAAAATACTGTTAAGGAAACTCACTGGGTCTCTGCTTCAGAGTTTGGGTGCAAAAGGCATCAAAGTCAGATGCTGGAGGAGATGATCTCCTGAAACAGCAAAAGGGAAGCATTTTGGGATTCCACAAGGAAGGGGAACTGCGGGAGGAATCCCTCCATGTTGCCCAACAAGCCCAGGCAGAGAGGCCTATGGCTTACTTTCTGCTGGCTGTCAATCTAGACACCGCTGCCTGGAACCTGTGGTATCTAGGACTCAATTGCAGTCTCTCTTCCTCAGACTCTTCTTGTATAAGACAGAAACATTCAAAACCATGATGAGAACTACCTTAGGTTTTAGATATGTAAGTCACATGTACATTATACAGAATTCTGCATGTACTGGGGGCTCACTGTAAGCAGATATTTCCACTATTCATAGGTTAGATAGAGAGAAGCTCCATGTGTGCAGAACCACAATTGTCTGTCCCCACTCATTTCAAGGAGACCATGCTGCAGCTGAATGATGGCTCCTTCATTGGGCAAACCTGTCTGAGGATGCTGCTTCCAACATCTGAGGATGCTGCTTCCAATATCTGAGGATGCTGCTTCCATCATTTGAGGATGCTGCTTCCAACATCTGAGGATGCTGCTTCCATCATCTGAGGATGCTGCTTCCATCATCTGAGGATATTGCTTCCATGACAGTGGTCCTGGTTCTGGTGGATGTTGCATAAACAGTAATGCCAAAGTGGCTTTAGGTTACTGTGGAATGTGGTCCTGCTTTGGTGATCTGTGGGTACTGTATCGTTCTTGTCTATGGGACCCCTTTAAACTGCTTTCCTGTATCATCAATTGTCATCAAATTGGCTACCACATACCCTTTTTGTTGATAATATAGCAATCGAGTTGAAAAGAAAACTAGCTGTCATTTTTTTCTCTTAACTCTTTACTACCTCCACTCCTCAGTACCAAAGATGACCAGTGCTCTATGCAACAAGACATGAAAACTGTATCCTTAAAATATCTAGGACTTTAATTATTAAGGGGAGAAAATCAACATATTATAAGTTTAACTGTTTTAAAGCAACCAAGTCAGTAGCTTTTAGTAAACCCCCATTTCATGTGACCATCATTCTTCCATAATATGTCCATCTCCTCCAAGAAGAACCCGGACATGTTAAGCAGTTACTCTTCACTCCTCCCCTTCCCACACCCTGGTCTGTTTCTATGAGCTTATCTCTTGTGGATATTCTATGTGAAAGGAAGCACAGACCGTGTTATCTTTGTATCTGACTGAATTATGTAACAATGTTTCAGAGGTATAGCCATCTGATAGCATGTATCCATACTGCGTTCCTAAAGATGGCTGAATAACATTCTATAGTATATTTGGTGGGTGTATTTATCTATTGGTTGACATCTAGAATGCTTCCACCTTTTCACCACTGTGAAGGCTGCTACTACGACACTAGTGTCCAATTGCTAAAATATCTATTTCCATTCTTCATATTGGTATTGTAGGAGATAAAAAAGTCTTTCTATCTTCCACTAAAGTGATTCTAAAGAATCACTAAGCCATCACTAAAACACATTGAGAAGGAGCATTTTCATCTGAAAACTGAGTCTTTATGGTTAAAACTTCCTCCTTTCTGAATCAGATCAAACAGTGAGGTTGAGAGATTGTCCAATAGGAGGGAGAGACAGGATCTCCTTGCTGACTCTTTAAGTCTGAGAGTAGGAAGGCACCAACTCTGCCCTTTGTAAACTGCATTCTACTAAGAAAGGAATGTGGCCCTTGTAGATCATTACATACAGTGGTTTCAGATACTAATCTCTCACTTGAATAGAGACCATTATAGTTCTGTGTATTTACTCCTAATAAAAAATGTTCATAGACCTAAAGTCACACAGGTAGTTGTCATCTGTTGTACACTAAGCAACTGGAAGGGAAGTATATGTCTAAATTCTTTTGAGGGGTAGGGGGAGATTGGGCCTTCCAGGACCACCTCCCCTGGATGCTAGCAGGTAGACAGGATAGTGAGTAGAAAAGCAGGATTCCTGAGAGAAAAGCCAGAGGTTTAGGACCAGCAAGGTTCTCTGTCTGCTCATAGGTGGACACAAGAGGTCAGAGTGTCAGCAAGGTAAGCCATGAGGAGTTTTATGGGTTCTGTGAAGGCTGACCCTGGATGGCTATTGTGGTTTCAGTGTTGGTCCTTTAGAATTCATGTACTGGAAACAGTCTCCAAAGTTCTCTATCAATGGTCTGGGCAGTGACTGGCTCTAAGGACTCTGACCTCACCAATGTATTGTTTATTCATAGTCTACAGGGTTCATCGCTACTGAGAAAGTAGCTTTGTTATAAATGTGAGCTCTCCTTGCTGCGCTGATATCGCACTGTATTGCAGTCTCACCATGTGATGCTCTGTCCTCCCTCAGGACTCTACACCAGCAAGAAGACCTTTATCAGGTGTCATCCTTCAACCAGGAGTGCTGTGGATACCTGTAATCCCAGTACTCCAGAGGTCTAGGCACAAGGATCAGAAGTTCAGTGTCCTTGCTGGTTCCATACAGAGTTTGAGGTCAGCCTAAGCTCTATAAGACCACATGTGTGTCTGGGAGGGGCTGATCATAGCCCACATTCTTCCCCGTGTTGTTCAGTGGTATGATGAAAATAACTGAATCTCGGAGACAGTACGCAGTCTATTCCTTAGAAAGAGCCACTTCTTGTTTTCCTGGAGTACTGCAGAAGGAGGCTACAGCGATGGCCACAGTAAGTAGGCGGATAGGGAAACCCCAAACTACATTTTAGAAGAAATGTGAATATGGCTGCTGTCATTACCTATCTTTGTTGGGAACACCAGCCACCCTGATTGTTGGGGACACGTATCCCCCCGATATGTGGGATATTTCATGATGGGTTTGGAGAATCCCACATCATACTAGGAGATTTTTCACAGCAAAGAGGGAAGCGGTTCTTGGTAAATTGTGGTGCCTTGCTTCATAGTACTTAGTTAACTTAGGTCTCAGACTACCGCAGAGCAACAGGGGTTCATCACATAATTTCTTCGTTCCTCTGGGTCAAGAGTCAACTTTGTCCTTGTCTAGAGAATAATCAATTGGAGGACCTTGTGCCCTTAGGATAGAATATCTTTCTCTGCTTGCAAAGTAACTGCCCTGCAGGTGACAAGAGAAGAAATTCCTTCCCAGATCTGCCCCTGCTGCTAAAGGCAAAACACTAAGTTTGGAGATAATGACAATGGGTGTGTGTGTATCTGTGTATGTCTGTCTGTGTGTGTATCTGTGAGTGTGTATCTGTGTGTATATTTCCGTGATCATCTCTGTGTGTGCACACATGTGCACACAAACATAGCCTGGAAGAAGAGCTTTGGTTTCCTTTAGCTGTCTGCCACAGGAGTTAGTAGGCTGCTGGCCACAGTGCCTGGGGCAGCAGAACACACACTCAAGCTCTGCCCTGACCTCCCCCACCCCCTTTCGACTTTGTGGGACTTGTGTACAATTTGGAAAGGAAATAAAGGACATCCTAGCTCCCAGCTGACCAGCCCCCTCTGTAGCCTGGAGACCCCATTCCCTCTTGCCCTACTCTACTGGCCTGTAAGCATAGTCCACAGAGACCCCTGTGGCCTGGCCTTCCCAGACCTTTCCCTCTATAGACAGCTCTATGGAGGCTCTCTCAGGCTCCAAACCAAGCACCTCAGGGGTTGCATAAAAGAAAGTACATATCTTGTCATAGAGCAGCAGCAGGGACCAGCTGCTGCACCAATTCTGCAAAAACCAGCGCTCCCTGGGGAGTCTGGGCATCTCAGAACCCAGGGATGGCTGCTGCCAATTCTTTTAATTGTCTGCATAAATAACACCAGTCTCGGGAAGTTAGGGGCCACATTTCAGGACTGGCTCTGTATTTGTTAATGGGCCACCCTGCCAAAGAGGTTAAGTCTTTGTGCCTGGAACGCAACTCAAAGCTCTAAGGCTTTAGTAGGGCGACAAACGTCTGTGTCTCTTTTTGCTTTTGACCGAAATCCAGCAGGGAGGAGCTACCCCGGGGGACCGTCGCAAAGGACTGTGCCAGTCGGTTCCCATCACAATTTAGAGTATGGTGTATGCTCCGAAGTGCACCGGGCTGCTCCCCCTTAACGCCGGTCCCTGTTTGCGGGAGTGCAAGATGAGGGCGGGGCTGAGCTGTGTCAGGTTGGCTCAGCCTCAGTCCTGTCTACCCTATCCAGGCGATACCCACCCCCCGCCCCCAACCCCCGCCCCTCAACCCCCACCCCCCACCTCAGGGAGCTGCACTGTCACCCCGGGCCAGTCCACTGCCTGTGTGGCAGCTTCCCAGGAAGGAAGAAGCGTTGTCTGCAGATTGCTTATCAGCCGGCTTTCCTGTGTCGGAGCGCCGTGGTTTTCCGGGGATGGCTGCCACCCCCGTGATTCCCAGCTCCGGCTGCCCGGTGCGTGATAAATAGACCATTGTGAGACCGCTGCGATCTGGCTTTCTTATCAAATGATCCACTAGAAAAAGAAAGCTAGAGCGAGATTCCTCCCCCGCTGCCAGTCATCTCAGCTTCTTCCGGTCTCTTCACAGCTACAGCAGTGTCTAGTTTATGCAGTTTTCCAGGGAATGTTTAGAAAGCAGTTTACTTGTTGAAGGAGGCAGGGACCTAAGGGGGCGTGCCGCCTACTAAGTGGCTTGCCGGGGGTTGTGTGGCTAGTTTCTTTGGCTTTGGGGCATAGTGTTCCTACTGCCCACCTCCCAACGCATACACATCAGTAAACAGCAGCGCTGTATCAAGTCTGCAGACCACCAGATTATCTACAGTGCAGCCATTTAGGTTTGTTTGGTTGGTTAGTTTTTTGTTGTTTTTTTATTTTGTTTTCTTTTGTTTGCTTTGAACTAACTGGTTTATGAACAAAACTTGAAAGGAGAAGACACTGGTGGAAATTGTTCATTCAACGGAGACCACTACAGATTGTGCTTTTGTAGCTGAAGCAGTCACATGACCCAGAAGGGATTTGGAGTTCCTAGTGCTGTGGTACTTGTTTGCTAAACAGTGCTCCACACGGTGGCTGGACAGAGGATGCCCTCAGAAAGGGACCAACCCCCGACTGAGTATTCTCCAACCAAGGTCTCGAAATACTTAATGTTTGTTTTTTCTTTCTTTCCAGAACAGGTCCTGAATCTTCATGCTGTGCTGTGCTTCACAAATTATGTAGCCAGGACACTCAGTGGGAGCTCAAAGTCATTTGAGTGAACCCTAAAAATTATTTGAGTAGTTCCCCTTTGGAATAGTGGACATCAGTTAATCCATAAACTGCTGAAAGTTTCTTTTAAGTTGGTTGTTGCAATGGTTTAAAAAGAATCTGCAGGCCAATAGGGTTCCTAACATGGAGGACACCTTCAAGAACTGCCCTGATTCCGTCAGAACCGAAAAGTATACTCATAGCAGACTTGCTTCTTATTTTAGGAAACTTGGACCCTGCTGCCACAGAGATCTAGTGCTTTCCATGACATGATGCTCGTTCACAGAGTTGTTGCCTCTCTCTTCCTTCTCTACTCTCAACTGCCTGGCTTCCAGATGTGCAGACCAAAGCCAGAGGTTTGACACGGATTCGTCCTAGACCAGTGGTTCTCAGCCAGCCTAATGTGCAGTCCTTTAATACAGTTCCTCATGTTGTATAGTGACCCCAACCATAAAATGATTTTCATTGCTACTTCATAACTGTAATTTTGCTATTGCTTTGTAAATTTTCAGAGACAGAGGTTTGCCAAGGGGGTTGTGACCCACAGGTTGAGAATCAGTTTCCTAGACTAAAGAGAGCATGAGAACTTAGAAAAAAAGCATCCAGCTGTGTTGTTTAATTGATCCATCCTTTTTATAGTATTGCATGTCTCCAATAATTCATAG